AGGGAAGAAGGGAAAGGAAAAATTATGAGAACAGAAAAAAAAATGGAAACAAAATCTATGTAAATAGCAAAGGGTGGAGAGAGTGAAGGGTGCACAGGTAATGGGGGAAAAAATAAGAACTAAGATACATCATGTACAGGTACAAACACCCATTGTTAAATGTAAATATATTGTATACCTGAAATGTACCAATAAAAGAAAAGAAGTAAATAGTTGATATAATTTTCTCAGTAGCACCTTTAATATAATATGTATGTTGTTTCTCAATTCTTTTTTTTTTTTGGCACTGGAGATTGAACTCAGGACTTTGCACTTGCGAGGCAGGCAGGGTGCCACTAAGCTAAATCCCTGGCCCTCTCAATTCTTTATAGACAATAGTAATATTCATTTTTGTATAATTGTTTATAAACTCATTCACTTGGTATCTCTCCAAGTGTCATTTGCTTGTGCACTCTAGAACATAGCTTTTATCATTGTGCCAACTAGTTATCACATCTAATCCAGAAAGCACCACAACAGTTGGGAGTTACTTGAGGTTACTACATTGCAAATCAAATATGAAATACTATCTTTAGAGAAATATGAAACAAAGCAGCTTTCTCAACCCTCACTTATTTATGGTTTATTCTTCAGTGTTTATTGACCTGGACTGGATACTGTGGATTAATGCATGGTGACTACCCTTCAGAAAAAGCTGCAGTCTTCTAGCTGAGAGACAAAAGTATACATAAATCAAAATTAAATATTTGAATTTTTCCATTAAAAACACCCAGTCTACTGTTACAAAAGCATATATGCATAAATGAATGGATGTACTTGTTTCAATAAAATTTTATTTATAAAAACAGAAAACAGGCCTGTGTGCCACTGTTTGTTAAACAAACATCTACAGTGTGCTAGTCTCTATTCGGAATGCTTTATATTACATTTTATCACATTTAAACCTCTTTACCCAAAGAAGTAGATACTCATTTTCTATTCTCCAGATGAGGAAACTGAGGCATAAAGAGATTAAATAACTTGCCCAATATTGTGCATCTGTTAAGTGGTGGAGCTAATAAAATAAACCTATATAATCTGACTCCAAATGCTGTACTTCTTTTCATTATAATGTACTGGCTCTTTTCTGTACCATAATCTCTTTATTGTCAGTACCATCAAACAGGATATATTAGTTTTTAACATAGATATCTTGGGCCCTGCCACTTGTAACTTTAAGGCATTTTAAAAGTGGAAGAAAGTTGTTCTTAACAGATAGATTCATAGTTATTCAGTGATATTTTCAAGTATCTATAATAAACATGTTGAGAATTAGGTTTATTTTTTTTAGGGTGGTAAATGTCATTATGGTTGACATCATGTTTAGATTTATTTATTATTTAAATTTAGTGTTTTTTGACAGGCATGGTGGTACATGCTTGTAATCCCAGTACCTCAAGAGGCTCAGGCAGCAGGATCATCACAAGTTCAAGGCCACCCTGGGCTATATAGTGAGTTCCAGGCCAGCCTGAACTACATTGCAAGACTTTGTCTCAAAAAACAAAACAAAAGATTTACTTTTAAATTTACTTTGGCATGAATGTAAATTTTTTTTTCTTAGTTTGGATTTAGGTGGCGAGTAGAAAAAGAAGTAATTTCAGGAAAAGGTAATTTTTTAAAATTTCACTTTTACATAGCACACAGCTAATTTTGTTATATTGAATCTAAGACATTGGGTAAGATTATTCCTCCCATATACAATAAATTGTTGTCTAGAAAAGTAAAATTAGAAAAGATGTATTTGTGATACATTATTAGCAAAGGTCAGAATAGTTTAATGATCATTACCTTTAGAACATTCAATGGAGGATATGTAGAAAATGTTTAGAGTTAAAGATTTAGCCAAGAATGGTGGGACTTCCCTGTAATCCCAACACTCCAGGAGGCTGATGCAGGAGGCTCACAAGTTCAAACCCAGTTTGAGCAATTTAGCAATTTAGTGAGACCCTGTCTCAAAATAAAAAAATTGCTGGGAATGTAGCTCAGCGTGAAGGCCCTGGGTTCAATCTCTAATACCTGGGTTGTAAGGTGTTTAATAGCAGGAAATAGAAGAATGCTTGGTTCTTTCACTTTCTTTAGTAGTTTTTAGAATAATAAATTGATATTACTGTATTTGAACAAAATCCATATTTTAAAAATAGAAATAATCACTTTAAATCTAATAGAATTTTTGTACAGGCTGGTTCTCATTTTAGGGAATATCTGAGATTGAGCCCACATGTTTAGTTTAGTCAGTAGCAAAGACCAGACATTTGGTTGGCAGTCAGTAAGTGCTTCTTCTATGCATTGATGTAATCTGTTCTTAAAGGTTTTCTGAAAACCATCCCTCTATACTGCCTGTGCTATAGAATTAGTTCTTTATACAATAGTCACATCTTAAATGTTAATATTTCTGAAAACTATATAGTGGCAGTTACGAATAATTTTAAACTTTAAAATCTAAGTTAAACTGAAAATAAAGATTACACTTTTAAATGACTAAACATGTATGCTAGCTGACGTGTTGTATAAATTGGGTATTCTTTGCATTAGGTGTGAAATTAGATATGCAAAGAAACAAGCAAAATTATGAAGTAGTATTTTTTTCTATTAGTTGTAAAAAAAATCAGCACTGAAGGAACTTCAGAGGAGAGGGGAAAAGAACAAATTTAAAGCCATTTTTAACTTTTCTTAGGATTACATTTTAGTTTATGTTTACCTAAAATAACAAGAGGTCCTGAAATGTCTCACAATTTAAAAATTTTGTACTTTTATTGAATGGGATTTTTAGACAAATGTATAGTGCTACCTTTTCAGAAATCAGTGAACATTCTCTAGATTCATATAACTGGGGAGGAGGAATGCTGCCATTTTGTTAATTACAACTTGTTTGTGTTTTACAGCCAAAACTAAATAAGTAGATTTAATAAAGTATTCATTTGGCATAAGTAAAAAGAGACTGATTTAGAAATCAACAGTTTGGATGATAACATTCTAAATTCCTTTTGGTAATTTCTTAACATTTTTATAGAAAAGAATTAACTAGTTTCAAATTTGCTCCTGATGGTGCAAATGATTGTAATGTAAGTTATTGTTTTTCTGTTTGTACAAGTAAAAGTTTGATTTTGACTTTTTATGTCAAATTAAATAATTGTTGAGTAGTTTCTTCTTTTTTCCCTCTTGGATCATCAGTCTTAGTTCTGTTGTTGGAGGTTTTAATATATAATAGACAAGATGATGTCATGTTAGCGTTAGAAACAAGTGATTCTAAAACTTAAGAGTATCAAGTTTGATTATTTATTGTACATTATTTCAAAGTGTTAGAATTTTTGTGTTCTTGGTGCCCCTTTATACTAGCACCTTTAAATCAGTGCCATTATATTAATACTTAAAATATTAATTTTAATATTACAATTAAATATTAAAAGGATTTACCTAGGTATAAGTGCATGTACTTTGGAAAATACATTTCTTATTTCAGGGTTTTAGTGTATAGATGTAATATTCTCACTTTTCAAAATGTAAAATTTCTTAGTAGGAAGTCACTAAAACTATCTAAATATAAATAATGAATTTATCAAGCAAAAATTATGACATTTTTTGTAATAATTCAGCTCTTTGCTTTGATACTTGTATACATATTCACTGAACATTCTATAATTGTGGTCAGTTATTTTTTAATACTACTGACTTTATATAGCTAAGATTTTATATATTTTGAAAGTAAAATTTAGAGCTAATAACAGGCCATATTGATAAATACTGTCAGCTACAATAGCTAATATTCCTTTCCTTTTTGCAGGTCAGTTTTTTTGTGGAAATAAATGTTGTGATACAAAAGAAGGCTTAAAGAGTTGGGAAGTTAATTTTGGTTATATTGAGCATGGTGAAAAGAGAAACGCACTTGTTAAATTAAGTAAGTTGACTTTAGGGGAAATAAGATTAATTTTGTCCAAGTTTATCTAATTTAGAATTGAAACTGTATGAATCATTTAAAACTCAGTATAAAAAATGTTAGCATATTTTCCTGGTTGTGCTCTTAGAGCTTTCCAAAGTTTCAAAGATCTTTTGAACCTAAAGTTTTTATATTCTTAGCATTATAGTGACATTTTGGTAACAGAATTCTAATGTTAAATGTAAGCTGATAATTAGAGAATGAAGATCTTTTTCCATTAACTTGAGTGTGTTACTAAGTTCCATGTCTAAGAGGCAGAGTCTCCGAAAAAGCAGTGTACATCACAGTGCCTAATTTTCTAGACATAATGTTGGAGTATGGATAATAGTAAGTCTACTCTCTTTGAAAGTGAGTAAAGAAAAATTTTAGGAAATTATAACTGTTCTCAGTGTCAGTCTTAACAACTGAGGGATATACTCTGTATCAGTTTATTTTACTATGCATGGTATAAAATCTGTCCTATTATTTTATTTTTTAAAGCTCGTCTTCATTATTTGTCAACTGCTCTTATCCCTCATCATGTAAATGGTCTTCAGCATTCTCTGGGTCCTAAGTAAATGTCCTTTCAGAGTTTTCTGCCCATTTCTTATAGAAGTCACCAGTTTACTCACATGATGTCAATCTGGTTTCTGAATTCTTCTTGGAAGTGCTTATTGGGAAAAAGCCAGTATAGCTAGATTAAAGCAGAAGAAGAGACACCAATCATGGAACTCCTGTCCTTTTGAGAGTTCTTAGAGTACTTTAGAGCACATGACTGTATCTAAATTATTCTTACTGTCCTGTAATACATATTATTACATAGTATTATTATTAGATATCTTTGACTTGACATGTTAATGTTCCCATCAAATAGAACACAGTTAATAAATTCACAATATCATTTTTAAAGTGATATTAAAAGTTTTTCAATTCCTCAAGTATTCTATTATTTTTATTATATATTTATTATACATATACTTTTTCTTTTGAGGCAGGATCTCGCTATTAGTTCAGCCTGGCCTTGAACTTGCTGCAATTTTTTTCCCCTTCTTATGGTAAGGGAAAACAAAGAAAATGAAGATTCATGATATTAAAAGTATAGTTGCAGCACAGTTATTTAAATTCAGCAATTTAATGGTATCTTTTTTTTTCTTTTTAGGGTTATGCCAAGAATGTTCTTTTAAATTAAATTTTCACCACAGGTAAGAATGTCTTTTAAAATGCCACTTTTAATGTTTAGTAATCTTGGACATAGTCATTTACCTGCACTGAGTTTCTAAATGTAGAGTTGGGTAGCATTTGGTATAGGTAACTTAAATGGGAAGTTCTGTTAATTTTTTTTAAAGTAATCCTGACATCTATCTGTCCTCCTCACCAGTCCCAATTTCAGTATTATCACTTTTTCTTATTTCCTAAAGTTAATTGCTTCCCATCCATGATGCTGACCAGCTTGTGAAACTGGCCAGGAAGAGACAAAACTACAGCAGCAAGAAGATAAATTATAAATGGTCTAAAGTTGACTGATGAATTATCAAACACCTTTCATCTTTATTCCATTATACTTTTATTGTATTCCTGTATTTTTAAGAGAAGAATTTCCTATTATTAGTGGTTTAAAGTTTTTATAGCAGTTTCTTAATTGTTTATGTTTTTCAGTGTGTACATAGATATGAATTATGTAAAAGAAAATGAGATTTGTTTTTGTAATTTAAAAAAATGTCTAAATGATAAAACATAGAAAGGATCAAGTAAAACTGATTTATATTTACTAAGTGTATATATGGAACTTGTAAAAATTGTTTGTCTCATATTTTAGGCTTCATTATCTTCCAAAATTATCTTATTATATTAACCTAAAATATTTGCAGACTCATTTAAGTTCCTTATTATGTAAGTTACGTTTAAGAAACTCACTGTTTTAACTGATTGAATTTTTTTGTAAGGTCAGTTGAAAAAATTAATCTTCATTTTGTATTCTTAATGTAAAGGAGAAAGGAAATCAAGTCCGACAAAAGAAAAGCCAAAACCAAAAAAGGCTATGAAAAGTCATCACATAAAAAATTCAGATTGTCTCCAGAAGCTTCCAAGAAGAAAGGTAAAGGTAAAGGGTATTAAGATGTAGTATCTCATCACATTTCTGAATGTGAAATATAATCTGCCATCTCTCAAATGTAGAACTCAGTTGCTGAATGCATTCAGGATTTTGTTTTATAGTGATGGAAAGGAAACTGGTTGAGAATTTAGATATGAATTTATAAGTGATTTGCAGGAGTTTTAATAACTGGCCTGGTGTTGATTCATTTTTGGCAGATAGCATATTATTGTATAATATTGTGAGCAGTGTTATAATTCTTGGCTTTATCCAAGACTTGTTACTCTGGACAAGGCACCATGTATTTTGGAGTAATGTGAATATTTTGTCTCTGCACACCAGTCAAGCATATTGTGGAGAATCAAATAAGAATGCAAAAGGCACTTTGAACACTGTAAAACATCTTTATGGTCATAAGAAAGTATAAAATTATAATGGAATGATTTATATTATAATGATCTGTGTGGATGTTTTTCCATGAGTTTATGAGGTTTTTGAAAAGAGAGACACTGATATATAACTGAGTCCTTAGAACTTAGCGTGGTTCTAAGTACATGTATACTTAGTAAATAATTATCAAGTTCAAATCTGCCAGTCAGCTGCTTACTTTTTCCTTAGCGGTTCTTAGTCTCTCTAAGCCTTGTTTTCTGTTTTTTTATATAGATTTTAAAAAAATTAGTACTTGTTTGTGATACATAATGAATACGTTCATTGTGGGGAGTTGGTACATACACATACAGCGTCTTAGTTCTTTTTTCTTCCCCTTCCTCTCCCTTCTCTTCTCTCTTCCTCCATCCGTAGATCCCCTTCCTATCTACAAAAGGTCTACCTCTTTATTTCCTACTTATTTTATTTAGCTCTTTAAGTTATTTGTACTTTGGGTTTCTCATGTAAGAGAAACCATGCAATATTAAACTCTATCTGATTTATTACACTTAGCATTATGGTCTGAAGGTGCATATGTTTTCTTACAAATGACTCAAATTTATCCTCTTTATGTCTGAGGAATACTACATTGTGTATATATACCACATTTTCTGTATCACCTCTTGATGGACATACAAGCCATTTCCAAGATTTAGTTACTATGAATTGTGCTGCTATAAACATGAATATGCATGTATCACAGTAATGTGATATCATTAGCTCTTTGGGGAAGAGACCCAGAAAAGGTATAGCTGGGTTGAATGGAATTTCTATTTTTATTTTTTGAGACTCTCCGTACTGATTTCCATAGTGATTGTCTTAGTTTACATTCCCACCAACAGTGTGAAAGGGTTCCTTGCTCCCCACAACCTTGCCAGTTTTTGCAGTTTTTTGAGTTTATGACAATAATCACTCTTTCTGGACTAAATGGAATCTCATTGTTTTGATATGCATTTCTCTACACCAGAGATGCTGGACATTTTTTTCCATATACTCATTGGCCTTTTGTACTTCTTTTGAGAACTCTCTGTTCAGTTCAATTGCCCATTTTTAAATTTTTTTTTAGAGAGTCTATTTTTTTGAATCCTATGTACATTCTAGATATTAGTCCTCTGTCCAGGAAGTGGCCAGCAAAATTTTTTCCCATTCTGTCTCTTTACTCTATTGGTTGTTTCCTTTGCTGTGCAGACGCTTTTTAATTTGATATAATCCCCTTTGTTGATTCTTGGTGTTCTTTCTTGTGCAACTGGGATTCTATTCAGAAAGACCTTGCCTACCCCTATGTTTTCAAGGGTTTTACCTATCTTCTAGCAGATTCAGTGTTGCTGTTTTAATATCTAAATCTTTGATGCAATTTGATTTTATTTTAATACAGAGTGAAAGACATGGGTCTAGCTTCAATCTTCTGCATGTGAATAACCAGTTTTCCTAGCACCATTTATTAAAGAGTATATCTTTCCTCCAGCATATGTTTTTGGCCCCTTCATCAAAGGTCAGATGGCTGAATGTGCCTGGGATTCTTTCTATTTCCTTTATTATGGTCCACTGATCAGCATTTCGGTTTTTATTGTGTTGTACCATGCTGTTTTATTGTTGTTATACCATGCTGTTTTTATTGTTGTTGTTGTTGTTTATCACTGTAGCTTTGTAATATAATTTGAAACTAGGATTGTGATGCTTTGCTTTCGTTGTCCAGGGTTGCTTTTATTATTCTGTTGTTTCTGATTTTAGAGGAAAAGCTGTCAGTTTTTCCCTATTTAGTGAGATGTTGGCAATGGGTTTGTTATAAATGACTTTTATGAGTTTGAGATAAGGTTGTTCTATACCTATTTTTTAAGGATTTTTAACATGAGTGGATGTTGGACTTTCCAAAATCTTTTCCTGTATCTGTTGAGATGATCTTGTCATTTTTGTTCTTGCTGCTTTTTGTTTGTTTGTTTTGTTTTGTTTTGAGACAAGGTCTCACGATATAGCTCAGGCTGGCCTTGAACTCACAGTGATTCTCCTGCCTCAGCCTCCTGAGTACTGGGATTATAGGCATGCACCACCATGCCTGGACATTGCTACTTTTTATGTGGTATATATTGATTTATGTATGTTGAACCATCCTTGCATCCCTGGTATAAAGCCACTTTAAGTTTATGATATATGATCTTTTTAATGATTTCTTGCATTTGCCAGTATCGTGAATATTTTTGCATATATGTTCATTAAGGGGATTGGCCTATAATTTTCTTTTTTTGTTAAGCCCTTGTCTGGTTTTGGTATCAAAGTAATGCTAGCTTTCAGGAATAAGTCTGGCAGTACTCCTTCCCTTTCAATTTTATTGAAGAATTTGACGAGTATTGGTGTTAGGTCTTCCCTGAAGTTCTGGTAGAATTCAGTGGCGAATCCATCAGGACCTGGGCTTTTCTTTGTTGGTAGAATTTTTATTTTTATTTTGTTGCTTTTTAACTCAGTTTGTTCTATTTAGAGTTTTTATAGCTTCTTGGTTCAATTTTGGTAATTGATATGTGTCTAGGAATTTTTCCATTTCTTCTAAGTTCTCCAATTTATTGAAATATAATTTTCAAAGTAGTTTCTTACAGCCCTCTGGATTTCAGCAGTTTTAGTGTGATTTCTGTTTTTTATTTCTAATTGAATTGATACAGGTTTTTTCTTTCTTTTTTTTGGTATGTTTGTCTAAGGGTTTATCAGTGTTGTTCATCCTTTTAAAGAACCAACTCTTTGGTTCATTGATCCTTTGTATTGCTTTTTACATCTCAATTTCATTAGTTTCCACTCTGATCTTTATAATGTTTTTCCTTCTGTTAATTTCAGATTTGGAATTCTGTTATTATTCTAGGACAGTGAAGGCAACCTTTTAGAGACAAGTGCCCAAAACTGCAGCCCAAAACTCACTTATTTATCACAAAGTGCCAACACTGCAATTAAACCTGAATACTGAGGTTTTAGTTTAGAAAAAACAACTCATACATTTACATCTTTTGTTTTAAAAGAAAAAAACACAGTAACACAGATGCCATATGTCTGCCACCTAGGATCTTGAGATGCATCATTAGGTTATTTATTTGGGATTCCTCAGTTTTTTTAATGTATGAATTCACAGTTATAAACTCCCCTTTTAGAACTGCTTTCATTGTGTCCCATAGCTTATGGCATGCGTGTTTCCATTGTCATTTGATTCTAGAAACATTTTTATTTCTTCCCTGACTTTCATGATCCATTGATTATTCAGTAATGTATTGTATTCCCCATGTGTTTATGTGATTTCTGTGAGTTTTTTTGCCGTTAATTTCTGGCTTCATTCTGCTATGATCAGTAGTATATAGGGAATTATTTCACTTCTTTTGCATTTAGTTAGGCATGGTTTATGGCCTAAGAGATGTTCTATTTTGGAAAAATTGTATGTGCTCTTGAGAAAAATATGTATTCTGTTGTTGGATGAAACACTCTATACATCTGTTGTCAATTTGTTCAATAGTATGGTTTATCTCTGACATTTTTGTTAATTTTTGTCTGGTTGATCTAATTGTGAAAGTAGGATGTTGGACTCCCCTGCTATGATTGTATTGATGTCTGCTCTTTTTTTGTTTGTTTTTTGTTTTGAGACAGGGTCTCACTATGTTCATTCAGAATTCACTATGTATCCCAGGCTGGCCTTGAACTCATGGGAATAGACCACCACAACCAACTATCCTTTTGTGTCCAATACTTTCATTTTATGAAGCTGGGCATGCCAACATTTAGTACATAGATATTTATAATTATTATCTTTTCCTGTTAAATTGTTCTCTTTACCAGTATGTAGTGGCTGTTTTTGTCTCTTCTGACCAGTTTCTGCTTGAAGTTTTATATGTCTAAAAATAATTAGCTATTCCTGCTTACTTTTGGGCTGCGTTTGCATGGAGTATCATTTTCTATCCTACCACCTTTAGTGTATAAGCTTTCTTTTAGATGAAGTGTGTCTCCTGTAGGCAATTATATGGTTGCATTTTGTTTTTTGATCGACTTTGCCACATTTTTTGTTTTGTTTTGTTTTTGTACCAGGGATTGAACTCGGGACCTTGTGCTTTCAAGGCAGGTGCTGGAACCAAGTTTTTTTTTTTTTTTTTTTTTGACTAGGGAGTTAAGACTAATGACATTGAGGTTGCTGGGGCGGTGACTGGGGTGGGCGCTGCCGTGGCCCAGGGGACCAGTGTGGGAGCAGCACTGGCGAAGCAACAGAATGATGGCTGTTTTAGTACTTCGGCTGGAATTCATCCTTTTCAACTTCAAAACTGGAAGCAGAAAGTTAGTCAAACAAAGAAAACAGAATTCATATGCACAGCAGAAAAATTTAAAAATAAAATTATTATAGAGAAAGATAAACACAGTCATTTCTACAACCGAAAAAATGACTTCAGAATTGAGCACAGTATGCTGGAAGAATTGGAAAATAAATTGATTAACAGCAGACTCTAGAAGAAATAAAAAAAGAGTCTATTCAGAATTGGAAAACTAAAAAGCATCAAAAGAGGCAAGAAATTTTCAAGTTAAAAGAGAAGGCAGACAGTATTCCCGTGCTTTTTCATAATAAACCA